CCACTGCACTTTTATTTAGATAGCTTCTGTCCAAACTTTGTTTTTTGATTTTATAGTGAAACCCATCTGTATATATGCTATGGTATATAACTGTAAAAACCCTTTTTATGGTAATATCCACCTGTATATTATATTCGGTACATATCCAGTTGTAAATTTAGTTAATAACACTAGTTATCTAAATATTATATTCATCTATTAGTAAGATTCTGTTTATAATGGTATTCATCTCTATACTCATTCAGTAAAACCCATGTCCTCTATTTAAAGAACCATTATTTATCCTGCACTTGCTGCTATTGCACTTCTGGTTAGACCTAAACTGCATTTCGTTGCCTTGCACCTGTACCTGTGTAATGACAGTAAAGTTGAATCTAATCTAATGAAATTGGCTGTGGGTCATGCAGTTCTCCTCTCCACCAGAAGATGGCAGCAGTGTGAAGGTCATGTAGAATATCTTACTTTGAGATTATAAAGTCGGTATATTAAGCAAAACGTGATAAAAAAAACTGACAAGAAGGACAAAGAAGGAGTTTTCATCTTTAACATGGTAGAGTTTGTCTCTGCAGTCATTTAGGAGTTTTTCTATGTAATTAAAGAAAAAAGAAACTGCTCAATCCATTTAATGCGATGTTTTTGGAAGCTGCCATAAAATATGATTTGAAACAAGAGATGTTATGATTGTTGCATTAGGGGAGCCGGTGCATTAACGCCGTTTTAATGTGAGCAATGGACCTGGATTCAGTTTGGTTCTGCAGGTTCCTCTCTCTCTGTGGGCGGAGTGAAACCAGGCGTGGGAGGCGTGTTCGCCTTCCACTTCACGGAAGAGAGCAGATCCCGAACCTCCGAGTCCGAGCAAACACAAGGAAGAACCGAACCGAGGTTGGTGATCAGCGGACCTAAACCCGAACCGGAGGACGGGCTGGGTGCGCGCAGCGGGGCGGCGCGCTGTCTGAGCGGCATGACGCGCTCCTGAAAGGCGCAACAACCAGCAGCAGCAGCCGCGGAGCTCAGGGAGCTGACAGGAGACATGGCCCACGTCGGCAACGGGGCGGCCGCCGAGGAGGAGGTGAGAGGCTCCCCTGCTTTCATCCTGACATCATGTTGTGCTTTTTAAATATTCCTGCAGCTCTCAGGCTTCCTCAGCCCGGATGTCACATCCTGTTCTTATAACCTTCATTCATCCTCCTAAGCTGCTGCTGCTGCTGCTGCTTCGCATTGGCTTTAAAATACTTATTTAATTTTAGATGTATTCTGCGCAAATAATGAGGTCATCAGCAAAGCTGCTTAACGTTGACTCCTCTGTTAAAACAGATACTTCAAACTGGTGGAGCTGCTTTATGAAACTGTTTCTATTCCACATTTATTATTATTATTATTATACTTCAAACTGGTGGAGCTGCTTTATGAAACTGTTTCTATTCCACATTTATTATTATTATTATTATTATTTTTAAACACTATCAAAAAATCTCTAACATAATGATTGATGATCTAGAGAGTTTAGACAATTCTCACGAAATACATTACATCTGGATTAAAGGGGCTTTATGAATGACACAGTGCCCTCTAGTGGTAAAGGTGCCAGATTCCTCTAAATCAGGGGTAACCAATTAAAAACCAGCAGGATCCGACTAAAGACAATCATCAACCAGTAAAAGGTCCGGAGACGTTTTTAATTAAAATCTGTTACTTTAAACAGAATTTAACACTGAAAAATTAAATGGGTCCGACCAGGCTCAGACGGGGACCGATTTTTGGTTGTGGCATTTTTCCATCTACACTGGCCCACTTATGGACCGCCCCCCGAACAAAAAAAAAAAAAAGAAGCACAGTCAAACGAGTGCGTCTCACATGTGAAACACAATACAAATACACATTGTGGATTAACCGATCTATCCTCAACCATCTCCAAGACTTCTATAATGACATTTTTCTGGCATTATAGAACAGTGACTACTGCTGCGTAACGTGAGCGCCACTCACCACATCAGCAGGTTTGCCAGATGTCACTGACTCACGTTTTCTAGCCCAAAACAATTTTCATAAACGCCTGGATATACGAAATCTCGCCCAATTTGAACCAAAATCTATTGATCTCTTAGTCCATAAATCTAAAGAAAAACATTTTTTACCCATAGAAGGCCATCCTAAACCGCCAGATTGGAAAACATCCCAACCTGGAAATAACGCACGTAAGACAGGAAACGTTAGCCCATTATGCACCGCAGCATATTTTTGCAAAATATTCTAACCTAAATTCGCCAAATATAAGAGGAACCTCATAGTTTGGTTAAAAGAAAGCATTTTAGTTTTATTATAAGTTAGTTTGATGCAAGGATTTTACAGTTTGAAGAAATAGAATATGACACCATATGCCAACCATCACAAGAATGTGCATGACAAGGAAGGGCTATACATAATACACGCAATGTTTAAACAGTTAACATTGTATTAGTTCTTGAGCTCATTGAGTTATTTACAGTCATGGGTAGGAGCTTCAGCCAGAGAGTATTTTCAGTGTGCGAGGGCCGGCCCTCCTTAACTCATATCGTCCCCAACACTTACTCTACACAGGGCAAATGCTCTGTATCACAGATTACCAGCCTGAGCCTGGGTCCGACCTAGCAAACAGTCTATTCGTTATAATCAAGATGGATTTTGTGGATAAGCAGAAGCGAACGACAGTCGGCACAATTGTGATTTCCAACAATGTTGGAAAAAACCAAAAAGAAAACTTAATGGATTACGAGCGCGAATACAAGAATAAGCATTAGAGTGCTGCAGTTGTGTTTAGGCCAGAGGTGGCGGCATCATCAGGAAACTCATGCCTCTTTGAATGTGTCTCTTTAATGTATAGTGGAGGATTTTCGCAGATCGCAGATTTTTGAAGACCTGCCCTCTTCACTTAAAAAAATAAAATAAACACGCACGACCCTTTACCCGCTCCCGAGAGGGAACAACTATTAAACGCGTGCAATTTCTCCTCGTGCACGCTCTGTTTAAAAGTTGCTAGTGGCATCACTCATACCAGCTTACTTTCCAAAAGAAGGTTTGCAATTTTTCCACTATGTCAGACTCGCCACCGGTAAAATGGGGACGAGCTGGTAGGACGGCCTAATGTAAACACCAGAATGATTGACGATTGGGGGAACCACTTATTTTGATGATCCACCCAAAAAAAGAACATTCTCCACTATACCTTTAAACCAAATAAAGTTTTTTTTTAACAAATAAAGACATGGGTGCCTATAAAAAATAAAAGATTCATTCATTTTAACTAACTGCACAGACATCTCTATTTGAATAGCTTATGACTGCTGGGTAGCTTTTTCAGAGTTTGTGATACGGATTGAATCGTTATGACTGGAAAGGCCTCCTCATCATCACCCTAATCTTTAGTGTTCCACAGATACTCTAAAAGATCTAGCCAAAACTGAGCTAATTAAACATATCACTTCCTATCAAGTTAAAAAATCGGTCTTAACCTGAACATGTCAGGGGTGTGAATCATCTAGGGCTTTTCTGTGTATCCAATGCAGCTTTTTCAGTGAAAGCAGATTTAAATCGGTTACATTTATCTTTGAACTTGTGAGAAAAGTCTTAAGAAATAGAAACCAGCAAACTGTCTCTTAATCTCCGGTTCACTGTCTTCCCCTACGTCATGCAAGTCATCGCCACTTCCTCCTGACCTACTTCTGTTTCATTCTCATTCTCAGTCACATGCACATCTCTTTATTGTTATATGGTTTGAACCATCAGTGTAAAACACACGATCGCCAGAGGCACCTCCAGAAATGTTTCATGGGGGGGCCAGATGGGGCCACTAAAAATCTTGTGAGGGCAAAATGAAACTAAAAGCCATCATTTCAGGGTTTAAATCTACTATTGTGGTAAACGTGCCTGTAGAAATCATAAAGACTGAAGTAAACGCCTACTCATCCTGGTTCACTGTGTGATTTTTAATGCTACGTCTCAGGCTGTGCAGAATGAGATGAAATGCTAAACTGATGCTAGTAAAATTTACACTGGTGAATGGGGTGGCCAGGGCATTGCACAGAGTGCCTGTCTAAATTAAAAATTGAAAATGGAAAATGATTAATAATCAAACGAAATGTTAACTATGCCCAG